TCAGCTCGTTCATCATGGAAGAATTCTGATTTGTTCCTTTATGTTTTTGTAAGAGCTGAGGCAATTGTATTTAGTCAGCTAATAAAAAAAGGCTGCTCGCGAATCGGAGTTCTTTCCCATCCAGAGCAAGTGGCCAATGCACTTGCCCCAGGGTAAGACACCCTCGGATGATGATTTCAAACCCTCGCCTTCGCAGAACTAGTGGAAGTATGCATTCTTCAAAGACTTAATATTACGACAACTAACATTAAAATTATCAAGATGTCTAATCCCTATCACTTAATAAATAAAATCCGAGGAAAACCAACACTATAGCTCACCCATCTTTTAACTGAGATCGAACTGACATTTTTAATGATAAAATGTCCTAATATCAAACTTTAGCTTCAAGATTGCTCTTCAGATATAGAACTAAACGCAAAAGATATAGCAATAACACGAAATAAAACACAGCAAATTCGTTTTATGGGGTTTTAGCAATAGTTTAAGGTCAAAATTCTGGGGTCCCTACTTTCGCTCATTGCAGCGAAGGGTTCCACGCACTAGGCATGCTGCTGTTTCTAGATTAATTGATCGCATTACAAAAAACTCTCACAACGTTGCTTTCCGTCTTCCAGCTGCATCCTCATGTTCAACCTGATAAAAACCAAGTTAATTCAAAAAACCCATATGAAATGAAGAACTAATTTTTCATATCAGAATTTAAAAGAACCATCTATAGATAGACAAATAAAATTCGAGCTAAATGTAGTGGAATGCATGGAACAACACGTGTGATGGATTTTAGATAATAGGTAAAAAGTGATTTTCTTGGTACTTTGAAAAGATAAATTATACTAGCCATGAACTAATTTACAGACAGGATAACTGGCTACCCAGGCACCAAAAGACTATTCTGTTGCTTGCTGGATATGACAGTAGACCAAATATGAAAGGTTAATGTGCTGGTGCCTCCAGTTTCACATTTTTTAAGAAGAAACCAAATATATCAGACAATTATTTCAAAAAATAGATAAAGAAATAAATCAGGCATTGATGATGCTAAGAAGAAATCACAACTCCATATAGTGGGTAGCCCATTGATAATCCCCCTCTTCTCTTCCCACAGAAGTTGAAAGAGGAAAAATAATAACATCTAATAGACATGTTACAAGATTTAGGTTGAAGTAACAAATTTACAGAGCATAATCCCCCATCAGATGGAATATCCAAGTGAACAAGATGGACGCTTATATGTGAATATCATATGACTGAATTTAAATATCAGATGATTATGAAAAGGAGGTTGAAATATAGGTTTCATTTGGGAGTGTGGTGCTGTGCTAGGTTGTAGCTATAGGTTTTTCTGTCTTCTACTATCCCAAAAATATATAAAATATTAATTAAAATTAAT